GAGGACGTGGATAACCGGACTTGAGCTCCGGTGCGAATTTCCCAATTTCATAAATATAATCGTATTCGAATCTCAGGCTAGCTAATTTGGCGTGGTGAGGAGCATACAGGCATTTATACCGCCTGGGAGAACGAACAACCAACTTGGTGAATAAAAATAAATACAAATGTAAGTGTTAAACAAATAATTCATTCAATATAAGGATGCCATAACAACAACAGTTTCTGAACGTTACAAAATATGTGCCTCACAGAAAACATGCGGCAATGTCAATCCCACAAAAAGAGTCCACTCAGATCTGTCCAAGTTTAATCTAAATAAATAACGCACGGGCCCGTAGTAACAAGAAATATAAAGAAAACTACATAGATTTAAAGAAACAGTAAAATTACCCTGGTTTCAAAGAGAAGATGCCAAAAGAAATAAAACTAATAAATCAGAATGAGATCACCCAGTCTCCCAAGATTAAAATATTAAGAGCAATCCGTGGAATAACGGTTACCAAAATATATATAAAATATTGGTCTCAACAAATAAACAATCACTTAAATAAATCAATAAATAAACAAAGGTAATATATTTTATATTTGTCTTAACGTTTTCAAAAAATAATACATTAATTACAAAGATTAATTCACCACAAGCTACGATCGTTCACGCACGCTTTGTATACGTTCAAATCACTACAGCTGATTTAAACATGCTTGAAGGCCGTGATTCCGACAGGATCGGGTGCGCCCCTAAATGAAATAGTTTTTAAATAACGACTAGCGATTGTTGAAACTGATAATACACGTCTAGTTTCGGGGGGGTGTCGATAAATAAATAAATAAACAAATAAATAAAACGAGCGAACAAATAAACAAGCAAATCTATTGGTTTTGCTCTGTGATGGTGATATCAACTCACAAACTGCTTGTATCTCATCAATGACTGGCTGTTTAAAGTTGACAGCCATTTTGTTTAGCAACTCCTGGACATGTGCTTGCAGACTCAAAACAAATGAATGCATATTAAACTAATATAATATAAACATAAATAATATAATAATATAATAATATAAACATGAATAAAACAAACATAACAATGGTATAATAATTTAAACATAAATAATATAATAATATAAACATAAATAAAACAAACATAACAATGGTATAATAATTTAAACATAAATAATATAATAATATAAACATAAATAAAACAAACATAACAATGGTATAATAATTTAAACATAAATAATATAATAATAATACTAACATGAATAAAACAAACATAAGAATGGTATAATAATTTAAACATAAATAATATAATAATAATCATATAAAAATAATGAAATTGTTAATTTTGGCACTAATCTCACCCCATAGTGGCAGAGACTAGTTGCGGCTCTCTTTGGCTTCCTGGGTCACGACGACTCTGCAAGGGAGAGTGATTGACTATGTCTCGGACTGTTTACTAGTACCAACCTACTTACTTGTCAGTGTCTGACTGTAATATACAGCCCAGAACACATCAGAATAGTAAAAAAAGTCAGTAAATGTCAGTTGCCCGTGCCATGAGAGCCGGCCATAGAACCAAAACAATCTGTCAGCCTTCGCCGTCCACAGCATCGATATGATTTTACATTGCATAGAAATGATCACTATTGCAGCTATCCCGGTGAGCAATTGAATCATCAATCATCTTCACGAGTGATGTAACTGGTATTTCCACCTATTTGCTTAGTGGTCCGTAAGTGAATGTTGTCAAGTTCGAGAGTGTGTTTTGAACATTATTGCTACAATTTGGGGCTTGAACATGTTCTATATTCACCCAAAACAACAATGGACCTGAAACAAAAGTAACCGTCCGATCTAAACGACCTGTGTCTATGAAAATCGAGTCTTATCTCCCTTGCGTTTCCGATCGAGAGAAGAAGCTTATCATCATCAATTCAACCGGGAACCAAAATTTGGGACGTTAAAGGAAACATCAATGCAAACAACATAATGACCCCTACAGATAAAGCTCTACAAATATAGGAGAATGCAATTTACAGTTTTTTTATATCACTTTTAATTCACTAGATATTCAACTTTTCATCAGTATTATGTAGTCAGCCATCTTGATTATCAAGCAAAGGATTGTGGGTAAAGTATGACATCATATAATCTATTGTCAGAAATTGAGAAAATGATTTCATCTATAACTTCAAAAGCTGAGCTTCAAATTGGCTGAAAGTTTAGAAATTGGTAGCATACATGTACTGGTGCCATCCATGTTTATAAAATAGTTGCCATGGAAACATAACTGAAAATATTTATTTTTATGTTTTTCCACCAAATGCTAAAATTTCCTTATATTGTATACAATTTACCAACGTGAGTAGGTTATATAGGTGATATATTACATGTTGACCACAAAAAGGGGACAAAAAAGTGTCATTCTATATTGCACGACTAAAATATTGATTTTTAATTTTTTAACGTTTTTTGCAATATCTTCACTTAATGTGTATTTGTAATATTCTAATTTCCACTACTATAATTATATACACGGGTATTATGCACAACGAATATTTGAACAAATTCACATCACTATTTCTCATGTTATAGATGAAATAATTTCTCAATTTCTGACAACAGGCAGCCTTCAATTTTGTGGTCAATCACTACGCACGGCCATTTTCCTGTAGCTGTTACATCTGAAAACATACTACAAAAAGTGGGAAAAAACGTATGTGACATCCGAACTATTTATTAATGTCAGACTTCAGTAAAAACGTAAATACGAACAATTATATCGCGGACTATGTTTTAGTGGTGAAATGGCGCACGTGATACACTAAAACTTGAAGAAAAGAAACGTTCTGTTAACGAATATAGTTGGGAAAGAAAGACTAATTTCACTGAAAGGGGTTTCCTAACATTTCCGTTCATCTTGTATTCTTGTGAATATTTCAATATTATTTCTGGCTTGAACGGGTTCGATTTTCCGCGTCTAGCAGTCATAGAACACAAAGGTTCTAATAAGTTTATAAAGTTAGTCATTTATTGTACATTATAATGATAATGCTTTGGCATCTAGGAACTTATTGCACTTTTCTAAAGCAAGTCTTGTATATATTTTATTCTAATTAGTTCGAACATATTCGAATATGCAAATGAGTTCTATGCAAATCTGCTTTGTGCAGTGATGATAAGTAACGCGTATCGAACTGTGCGGAGTTCGCTGTGTCATATGACGCCTTACTAGCCGATTTTGGCTAAAATAGCGCTCCGCCGCCCCTTTACACTAGTGTTTATACACGGAACTTGATAATGTTTTTTCCAATTTAAGTTGCTTTTTAATCACGTATTTTAGTGACATATTATTTAGTGAATGAAATATTATTGTCATAGATAATTCAATCTTTGAAACAACAGAAACTAACACATAATACCGACAATCAAGTTTGTGTTTGAAGTCCGGAAGTACTCGCGTAATTTCCGGTTTCAAATTCTTCGGAAATAGAACGTCCTTGAACGCGATGAAATCACGCATAGAACTCCTTCCGAACCAGACACTAGCAGCGTAAACTTATTGCAAATTTGCGCAATTTGGGCCCAGTTTGTTCTTACAAGTTTTCTAAGTGTCATTTATCATTATTTAGTAAACAGGTCCCTGAAACGATTTAATAAATGTACATTTTCTTCTATGCTATCGATAAAGAGCCATTGCTCGAAACGTCTAGCTATTTTTAATAGTTATTTAGGACTACGATTACGAAATATTATCTTCTATATATCACGTTTTGACTTGGACGGTGTTCTTTGAAAACGATGGATGATGCCAACGTGTTCAAATTACCATAGCTCATTTAAATATGTTAATGTTATTGAACGCAGCACGGAAGAGATTTGTTGTACGATCTTTTTGCTTGGATTTTGATGGAAAAGCGACATGATTTGTTTTTAAATAAAAAATGAACGTTTTTGAAACGAATCAATGTTCTGGTTATTTCTGGTGCGACTGCAGTTTTTGGAACAAACTTGGGGGACTCTAAAACGCAATTTATGGTATGCCACTTGAAAACGTCATTTAATGCACGTGAGATTCCCAACAAAGGTTTAAATCTTTTCGTTGTCTGTGGCGTGGCACTAGTGTGGAAAGCTGGAATAAAATGGCGACAACCTTCAAATGCATTGTTATGCTAATTTGATTTCCGTCATGTTAGTTGACAAAGAAATGAAAGATTTCTTGAATTTTCTTGGTAAATTTGAAACAAAATGTTATCCGCAAGACTCAGAGTACGACAGTGACAGTCACTGAAATGTTATTGAAGTCAAATGAACACCAGGCAAAAAAAAGACTGTTTCAAGTGTAGCATAAAATAGAGGCACGTACCATTTTGACTCTTGAGGGGAATGGAAATCAGTTGATTTGAGGGTGTCACAATAAGGAGTGAGTAAATCGTTTTATGTTACGAAAATTGCAGACCTTGAACGTACTTTTTGGACTTTAGTACTATGTCATTTTTGTTTGATTATGTAAGGTTTTTAGGTTCACGTGCTGCAAGTTACAGAGCACATACCAAAGAGGCCGTCACTCAGCAAATAATGAAGCAAAGGAATTTTTCATGTCGAAATCGCGAAACTCGCCCTTTTTACGCAAACTGGGAAGTTCGAATTACTAAACGAAGTACAGGACGAAGAAGAAAAAATATCCAAGAATCAACACATACCAAAAAATATATCTCAAAAGTGAATATTCGTGGTGTATTTTAGGTCTAACCAACCGGGAGTGGAAATTTGTTAGTATTCTAAATATACAAACATATTTTAGTATAAGGTAGTAATGATTGATTTTTTTTCAATTAATTTTTAAAATAAATACAACTGATAAAACACTAATAACGATCTCGGGTTTTAATCCATCATTGCAGTTTGTGTACGCATATAGCGCGTAATCAAAATCTGGTCGACAAGGGTTGCAAAGTGCCGTCATAATGTCCTCTTTGCCAATAATTTTACCAGAAATACCTGTCCGGGATCTCATTGTCAAACCGTCACCACAAGATTCCGAACATGACGTCCACTGCCCCCACTGTCCCCACCCAGACGGTGTTTCATTTTCACATTTATCCCCCGAGAAACCGTTAACGCATACACAGTGGTAATTAGAGTCTCCTCTTTCCACGCAAGTTCCGCCGTTCATGCAAGATTTGTTGTGACAAAAACGACATTCTTTGCCTGCTCCTGCGTCTACGCAAATACTTCCTGCGGGACATTTCACGCCATCGCAGTTATCAAAAGTGTCTACACACTGGTGCAGCGAAGTCATATAGGCATCGTCGTCCTCAGTGTTGGAGCTGATCACGTGCCCGTAACCTTTCTCACATTTGCATGACCACATTCTATTCGCGAACTTCCCACTATAACGCAAGGACCTGGTCGATAATGTCGGATACCTTAGTATATCTGGAAAAGTGTAACATCCATCGCTAATGGCGTGCTCCGCATGTTCACATGGATTGGACAAACATGGATTGGGACAATGGGCATACTGTGCAAAATGCATGTCGGTCTTATCAGTTCCAGCACACAGAATATAAGAAACAAGCAGCAATACAACGTCATCTAATTGATCTTCTGTATACCCCATGCCAATAAAACGCCTTCTGAAGAAACTCTTCAAATTCGGTGCCGAGCAAACAGAAAGCCGATTCTTTTTATAAGTCAAACAACTTGCTAAAAGTGATTTTCCTCTACTTTTCAAGGTAAAATCAAAATCCTTTGGAAACTGTAGGAACGCTTCTGGAAATGTTGATAGTTCATTCAATCTACGGTAGGTAATACTGTCATCGTCAAATAGAAAGGGGTGCTGTTTGCCAGTAATCTTTTCGCAATGCTGTAAGCCCCGTTTTGCTAAAGCAGAGCGGATATTTTTAAAGGTGTCAGGGTGCAGTAACTTGCCTTCAGACGCGACCTCTATGAGCTACTTGTATGTAACCTTTCTTGCACAGACAGGTGAAGTCTCTGTTGCTTTTATGGAGGGGAGATTGTTCATCTTCGGGATAAGTGTACACCATGCATGATTTAGGTAAAGCATTTCTGATACCAGAGCACGGATCTCCCAAACACGGATTGGGGCAATGTTGCAGATCGGCGTCTATAGATCGTTGGTTTCCCTCACACATCACGTAGTGGTATAACAACGACAGGGCGTCTAAAAAGCTACCTCCGGTATAGCCACTCTTTTCAAGAGCCTTTCCATATACTGTATACAATTCCTGGAAAGTGCACACCTCCTTGGTGTTTTGTCCATTGCTTTGCCGCAAGCTTGACTCGCTGGCGCAAAGCAAAAGAGGTGGCGGTGTCGTGGATTCTCTGTTACCGATCGTGAAATCAAACTCCAAGGGAAAATACCTGTGTGATTGTTTCCACAATTGAACTTCTTCCAACGATCTCAACCCAGATACATCGATTGTGTCTGTTTTTAACGAACTGGATACGACGGAGTATATGTTGTCTCCTGTTTTTTCAGCCCAGCGTCGGCCAAATTCTTTCAAAATATCCACGCAAGATACATTCCCCCAAAACAAAAATAATGAAAATACCAGTATCCAAGACCTCGCCAAAGGAAGCAATCGTTTCATCCGTCTGGCCATTCTGAGTGTTTAAACCATATACGCGATCTCATTCATGATTTTGGCAGAACCAACGATTTTTTGGGGGGATTTGCATAACGTCATAACCTCGGGGTGTTCCATTTTAATCGAATGGAAAGAATAGAATACATCCTGCGTAACAAGGGTCACGCGCCATTCTGTTGCCTGGGACTGATGGTAGAGAATGGGTAGAACAGACCCATCGCGAACTCTGAAAAAGTTCGATACGCGTTGTACTACTGCGTAAAGCGCAACGACCTATGGGAAGGAGATTGAGGGCGTTGTGTCGGTTAACAAAGTTATGCGTAAGCCTCTTGGTTACTTTAACCACTTTAATAAGACGTTTTACGCCCCGACTCCGAATAAAATGTTCAGTTAATTAGAATAAAATATACATGACTTGCGTTAGAAAAGTACAATCCTTTTCTACATGCCAAAGCATTAGTTTCTACTATAAATGACTAACTTTATAAACTTACTAGAACCTGTGTGTTCTATTGCTGTTAGACGCGCAAAATCGAACCCGTTCAAGCCAGAAATAGTATTGATATATTCACCAGAATACAAGATGAACGGAAATGTTAGGAAACTCCTTTCAGTTAAATTAGTCTTTAATGTTTCTTTCCCAACTATATACGATAACAGAACGTTTTTTCTTCCATGTTTTAGTGTATCACGTGCGCCATTTCACTACAGTAACATTACCTTGCAAAACATAGTCCGCGATAAAATGGTTCGTATTTACGTTTTTACTGAAGTCTGACATTAATAAATAGTTCGGATGTCACATACGTTTTTTTCCACTTTTTGTAGTACGTTTTCAGATGTAACAGCTACAGGAAAATGGCCGTGCGTAGTGAGGTGATTGACCACAAAATTAAAGGCTGCCTGTGGCAGAGGCACTATTGCGTGAAGCGCAAAGGCCTCTGGGAAGGAGATTGCATTGACGCTGCAGTTCGGCGTCTTCTACAAAACTGTTCCATTTCAAACTGCGCATGCACACACACTATGGTTTCTCGAAATGCATACTAATTAAGTAACTTGTCACTGATTGTTGAGACCAAATTTCTTTATGTTCGGTTTGCAGTAGAGCGCCCTCTTTGGTAGGTGGGGGATTAGGCTTTTGTTTGACCTGGTCTCGTGCAGTCAGCCGTTTGTTGATCGGAGAAACTTGTTGTGTAGTGAGCGGCGCTAAGTAAAGCACGCTGGTATGTACAGTTTGTTATTCTACTATGTTTTCCAATTCATTTTTTTAGTATACAGTTGACATTATTGTATATTTCTGAGAGGTTTTGTTGCTGAATTGTTTCAACTATGTGACTTCTGCTCGGTACGTTATGTTATCGCTCGCGACTCATTTGCATATGTTTGCGCTGACTGATTTCACTAGTGAGAGTATTTGCTGTATTTTACGTCTGATTTATTGATTTATGCATAGTTTTGTAATTCTATGTCTTCAGAAATATTGTATTTGTTATATTCTATAGAATTTTACCGGTATCTAGTGGTTTCTGGTTTATAGACAATATTTTATTATTTGCTTTCCCAGTATTGAAGGACAGTTGTTGTAAAGCAAGCCGTTAGCACAAGCTGATGTTAGTCCCTTCCATTGGAGGTGTTGGGAAATTGTTTCGGTGAGACATGGTTCTTTATGCTATTATACTTACTGTGTTTACAGCATTATATTTTATTGGATTAAATTTTCTTGTGTGACTTGTACATGTATATGCCTATGGATATTTATGTTTGTATTTTGAGAATATTTGAGTACTGTATTTATTGATTTCTTTGTGTATCTTTCAGTTAATCGTATCGTGTCATATCGCATGTAACGCATGGTTATGTGATAGATGGTGCGCATTAAAGACAATATAACCCTCAAGTCAAGCCTCCATGGTGTTATTTAATTTCATTGCATGAAAGGGACCCACACTGATAAAAGTCACAGAAAATATTTTGAGCAATTTTACTAGAGTGAAATTTAAACGCGCCTCTGCATTCTCCATGAATTTCGTAACTTGCTATGATCATGGTAAAGAGAAAACCTATGCTTACTTTCAACAGCCTGAGTTAGCTGGAGTCTGATCGAAAACGTGTCTCAAAAAATACCTTTACATCATTTTTCCGATTATTTTTTCAGCTCGTAACGATAGACTCAGTCATTTTAGAACTAACATGTATGCTATCGGAAAGCATTTTGGCACAATATTACTGAAAAAACGAGTTTTTCATTGCTCATGAATATTAATTTATGCAAATGAAACGATTATTTCAACCAATCGTGTCATGTAACTCCCCCCCCCCTGGAAAGTATACTCGTATCCTCGGGGGCGGAGCTACGTCACAAGACGTTCCACGTTGCTAAGACGCGCACCACTGTACATGCATTTCTACAATCTCCTTCCCAGAGGCCTTTGCACTTTACGCAATAGTGCCTCTGCCACAGGCAGCCTTCAATTTTGTGGTCAATCACCTCACGTAGTAAATATATATCCAGAACTCCCAGTTCGGAGTCCAATTGTGGATGAAATCGGCTACTTTGACCTAAAAACAAACAAATTCTCTTGCGTGAATGAAATTAAAAATGGTAGCCCTGCGTACAGTGCTGTGTGTACGGGGACGCGTTCGGTTGATAGATGTCCCC